CTACGAGATGCTGCGTTTTGGTGCATATGTAGGGCTTCAGAGAAACAGTTAACTAGGGAGAAGACAGGCTTACCACACAGCATGACTGCACCCTAAAGAAAGCAAATGTATTTACACACTTGTTTAAATTAATATTCCTGTCTCACACAGATAATCATGCAAATGAAGGATTTATTTTTAATAAAATTGCAGCTCAAATACACAAGCTGAATTTAGTGTGATGTTGTACTGCATGTAAGTAGTCAAAATAAGATGGTATTTATGTGGAAATCTCTTTTAATTACCTTTTATTTCATGCTCTTTCACATTGGACATTTTTAAAATTCTTTTTCTGTTTTACACACTGTATGTCCCTTCTCAGGTTGGTGGTTTTGATTTTTTTTCCCCCTTACTTAAGGTCAACTCGTTTTTGATCCTTTTTGCATGTTTGTTTTTTTCTTTTCTCTCACTTTCCTGTTCTCATGTTAATTCTTTTTTTCTGCATTTTAGAAGTGCTCTTTTTCCTCTGTTTTTCTAGGTGTTGAGGAACCCATGTACTTCCCCACCACCAGCACCTCACCAGTGCTCTGTCTTTTTTTTCAAGTTCTTGCCACAGTGACATACATTAGGAGCTGATTACAGGCACAACACAGAAAAAATACCCCTGCCTTGATTTTTACTCTTTAAAAATTGTTATTTTTTTAAAGGAAGGTGTCTGTATTCTTGTGTATTTCCATACAGTGACTGGCTTCTTTCTTTGAAGTCTGGAGGATAGTGATAGGAATGAAGACCCTTCAATGCCAGCTCTGCTCTTCCCATCCCATTCACCTGCTGGAGGCTCAGAGCTCTGGTGCAGCCCCCTAGCCCCCTGCCTAGGAGCAGAAGCAGCACTGCGGACCAGCAAGGATGGACAGGAAAGCCTTTGCTCTTTCCTCTCCTCATGTCCATGAGGTTGCACAAGTGAGAAAGGCTCCTGCTCTACTAGGACGCTGGAAGGAGGATGTGGACCACAGTCTCATTTTCAATATTGACGTGACATCTTGGCTCCTTCTCAGCATTGGTTAGAGGGAGATGCTTTAGAAATGGGCAGAGAGGAGGTTTTGTGCCTGGTGATGCCCCATGGGGACCAGAAAGGCAGGCGCACAGCTGAAAGTGTGCAGTATTGTTTGTCATCTCCCCAAATAGCAGTATTTAAATGCCTGCTCGTGGATGACCTGCTTCCCACTGGCAGCTCCGTCTCCCGTATTACGACTTTGCAGAGCTTTTGGGTGCGGTTCACTTTGAAGTTTGAGGCAAAAATGAGATACTGAGCGGTAATAGTTCTACCTAGTCAGTGTTCTATGTGGTGCATTTACTATAAGTCTGTAGAGCATGTGGGAAACTCAAGTTGTGCTGGGAACATCTGAAATGCTCTGCTGTTTCATCATGCACACCGTTTGGGGGAAAAAACAGCCCTTCCCACAGTCTCATTCCAACCTCCCCCACCCCCTCTCACTAAAACACTTAGAAGTAGTAATAGCATACCAGAAATGAATTACACTTGAATTTTGTGGTTTAGACTTCAGGCTTTATTTTTGTTGTGATGTAAAACCTGTAATTCTACGACGCTTATTCCAACTTCAGATGCTCACGGAAATGCACAGATCGAGCTCTGTTAATAACATGAACAGAAATGAACTAAATGATTTTATCCCTGTTAGTTCAGGAGCTTTCTCTATTAATGGTCAGAACCTTATGTTTTCTTCAAAAATATACTTGATCTGCTTGATGATGAATCATTGCTTTTGGACTGGGTAGCTCTTCTCTCCCCTTCTGGTTTTGCTTTTCTTGTGCTGATAGGTGACACCACTGTTGCCTCTTGTGCTCCATTGTATTGGTATAATGGAATCAAATTCTCCAGTTTTTCATTGTATTAAGTCCCTTGTCTTCCCTCATCATCATAATCCTTTTTCTTTGCAACTCTGCTAATTTGAATCTGTCTTAAATTTAAATGGTCTGCCTTCACTTATAGAGACTGGGAATACCTTGGTGGCAGAGGAGAGTGCTGGACACAAGTATGAATCTTTCTTCCTCAAGCACATCACTTCAATGACTTTCAACACCTGAAGATAGCTCTGGTGTATTGTGCTTCTCCAGGCTTTTGAGTTCTGAATGTTTAAAAAAGAACCATTTTTGTTAAGTGTGGTGAGGTTCAGATTGCAGTATACCCTTTAAAGCTGAAACAGTAGTGACCATTAATGTCATTAAAGTACAGTTGCATTGGTAAAAGGCATAGTGTAATGGCTTCTATATTTGAGTGCATTAATCACTGAAAAATGTTCCTGTTTGCATTTCTAATGATATATCTAATTGTAAGGTTGATAACTTGTCATTTCTTTCTACTTATTTCTGTGGTGCTATTTAAGATTCATCTTCACATTCATTATTCTGGTAGAGTTTAAAATGGCTGCTAGCTATTTTGAGACCTGTAGCTTTGCTGATTTACTACAATGATGAGGGACAGTCAAGAATAACTTGGCAAGGATGGTATTTAGAAGTGCTGATCTGTTTAAACAATACCTTTTTGTGTCAATATCCAAACCTGAGCAACAGCCACTTGTGTGTCATCTCTTTATGCTCTGAGGGTCATTTCCAGGCTCTGACTAGAGCAGAGCTGGTGTTGGGGCACTAACTTACAAGATGGCAGGTGCGATCAAATTTCTGGCTTGGGAGCTGGTGGAAGGGAGATTCTGAACCATGTTTTATCTTGCATGTGAGTGCCGTGACTAGCTGTGTTCTGCCTCCCATGTTATCTCCCCCTGCCTCTGGCCCCATTTCTGAAGGTCTTGACTGCTCTCAGCGATGATGTTCTCAGGCTGTAAGTGTGATTTATCAGGAGGTTGATGTTGATAGGTTTAGTTGCTGAGACACCTTCAAAATTAATTCTCTCGTGTGCCAACAAGCATCCACTGATGAGCATCTCCTCTGCTTTGTTTTCATTGCTCTCAGGGTGTAGGCAGCATCTATTTCTCTAAATCTGACTCTTCTTCCTTGTTTACCTGCACAATATGCTCATTTTCTGCACTTAACTAGTTGACATAACCCATTGGTTTGGGAGTTTGCTCTGAGTTTTGGCTACAGGTCAGACCAATCAGACCATGTTGCCTTCACTGGTGTTGGTGTCACTTCAGTTCATTGCCTTGCAGCTGTTCATTCCTTCTGCTGTGCTGCTTTCTTCTTGTGCCTTACCTGCCAGTTTCTTGGACTCCCTAGATCCCTTAACACTGACCTAATAGCTGTTGTTTAATAAGTAGTTTCTCTTCTTGTACTGGAACTGTAGCCTATGGCCTCTTCCATGCAGACGAAATGATGCCTTTTCAAGTCCTTGGGGTTTTGGTACTAATATGACACTCAAATATTAAGGGAATAAAGTTGACACATCTCGCCAGCTTTCCCCATGTGGCATGAAAAGGAGAAAAGGGGCATTGCATGGAAAGGAAAAGTAAATGCCCCTTCTGAGGCTGCACCCCACAGCACGAAATGCTACCTTGCCCACACGTGCAGGCAGCCCTCTGGGCACTGCAGGTCCTAGTGCACAGGCAGAGGTGAGGTTGCCTGTCCTCCATCCTTTCCAGCCCCCTCCTCTCACCTACCACCACATCATGTGTCCCATCATTGTCATAGTGTTGCATCCCCCTGCAGCAGAGCAGCCCCCACCATGGCACATCGTGCATCAGGCCTTGGGGCATAACCTTCATGCTGTGAGATACTTGGGATCTTTCAGATGTGGTAACACAGAGCCCGCAACCTGCATGGGGAATAGCTTGTTCAAATATTTTCCTTGAATGAAGCCATGTTTACAGACTGATAAGGAATACTAGAATCCCAGGGACCTTCAAAACAGAAGGTTGTGGGGATTCTTAGGTTTGGTTTACTTTCTGAAGTCTCTATTAGAAGCAGCTCTTGTTTTCTTTGTAGATTTTTTTTTTTAAATAAATACCTAATGAAGGAATAATTGTTACATCTTGTGATTGTGTCAAAAAAAAAAAAAAAGAAGTTTAAAGTGTATTAAATTGTTAAAGCAGAGCTTTTCCGCACTGTGAGACTCTGATACCACTACCATGACTTACAAACCCTTAATGGCAGGGCTGTGCACAGCTTATGAATTAAATAACTTTGTGTACCTTTTCCTTTGGCTTCCAGCTGAAGGGAGCAAGTGCGCAAGAGGGCACATTCTTTTGTTGTTGATAGCATTCCGCCTTAACGAGAAGGAATTTCTTGCTTATTGCCTATTGTTTATGAAGTGGAAAGGGAACACAAGTTGTATAATATCTATATATATCGTTGGAATAATTCTTTCTTAACATTTCCCTTGTGAGTCAGTTGATCCTGGAGCAGGTGCAGGGAGTGGGTGCTGCACCTATATTTTGTTATAGACTGGTGTGAGGCTGGGGCCGGGGAGAGTGGGGGGGGCGGGGGGACAGGGCGGGAAGGGGAGGAACTCCAAGGAGAGAAAAAACCCCTCAAGTAAAGCAGCAGCAGTCCTGAATACAGTTTGGTTTCTGTCTCTCTGGAGCTTTGCTCAGCAACCAAACCCAGACTCCAGGTGCAGTGTTCCCTCATCAGTCTGTGAGCATAGAAACGGCATGTCCCTCCTCTTCTCCCTTCCCTGCCAAGAGTTTCTGGGTGGTGAATGTCAGTAGCTGGAGTTATTTTTAAAGGCAAGAGGTGAGGCTTGTCGTGCAAAGCTAGGAAGAGGGCGTTTGTTTGCTGAGCAGAGCTGACATCAAAGTGGAGATTGCTGCCTACTGGCTCACCACTGCCTTATGCCAGGTAATCTTTAACATACCCCTCAGTCCCCGAGATCGCAGCCCAGCCTGCCTGTGTGTCTGTGAAACGACCAGCGTTTATGATCCAGAAGATTGCTTTTTCAGTATTATTTACGTGAGCTGGACTTTGACATTTAAAGGCTCGCACTAATCATCTTGCAAAACCTGCTTAGTGCTTTTAACTAAGCAACTGCTTTCTACTTCTCTTTTCAGGATAATATAAATGTTTTTCTGAAGGCGTGCGAAAATATTGGACTGAAAGAAGCTCAGCTTTTTCACCCAGGAGATCTTCAGGATTTGTCCAATCGAGTTACAGTCAAGTGAGTTTTGTGGTTTTATTTTCTTCTTTCCCTTCTCCCTCTAAGGTTTTTCATGGTCTTTTTTTTTTTTTTTTAATTTGCCTATGGAAAATTCTTCTTTTAATCTGGTATGAGCAGTTCTGAATACTGTGGTGAGGGTTTAAGCCTTGTTAACACTAGTAGATAAGACTTGCAAAAGTGTTATTTAAAAAATGAAGTATTATTATAATACTTACCTTAGAAGCAAACTAGTTATTAATGAATATTTACAACATTTAATATGAGATGGGAACTATTCAGGTTATTTTAGACTGGGAGCAAAATTAACTGTTAAATGATATGGAAAACATCACTTCTCTTTATGTTTTGTGATTACTGATGTAAAGTCTGACAGGCTGAGGTGGTGCTTCTGATACTTATCCATATGGATTTGGGGTTAGGTACGGTGTTCCTAAAGGATCGCTGGTCTTTCCACTCCACATATTAATCAGATGTTTGTCACCATATGCCATGTCCTGTGTCAAGGGGGATGTGCGTGTGTGCGTAGAAACTAAGTACTGAATTGCACACAGGCTAACTGTCATGTTTACGGAGAAGAGTTTTTCTGTGAAATATCAGTGGTTTGGTTCTGAAATATAATTAGTGGATTCTCATATTTCAGGACTGCTGTGCCTCCTAATAAGAATTTTATTACCAGTTTCTGAGAGATTAAGGTGGAACTTTACTATATAGACAGGTGTTTTAAGATAAATGTGTCGTGGCAAAAATCATCCTGGGACATCTTGCTTTGTTACAGTATGAACTGTTTTTATTATGTTGGTATAAAGGCTGAATTTATTGTCTCAAAAAAAAAAATAAAAATGAAAGCTTTAGTGAGTTTTGCTGGAAACCTGTCAGGTTAAATGTTAAGTATTGATTCCTGACTTAAATTACCAATTTTATTAAAGAGGAACAGACAGTAATCCTTCTGTAAATACAAGGTAAAAAAATACTGTGAAATGACATGTAACTGCTTTAATTAGAAAGAAATCTCTTGTAGGTGGATCGGGTGGTAGAATGTTGACATGCTCTCTCCCTGGTTTCAGAATGAAAATTCATACTGTTTTGAGGTCTGATACTTGATATGGCAATGTGTTTTCCAATCTTTGACTCATACCCGAAATGTAATTTCTCACTAATCTGGTGTTTAGGGACTTGGCATCTTTCCAGGATGTTGGTATTCTCTCTGCTCGTTCCCCACGTCATGCCAAAAGCCGGAGGGTTGGTAACCTCCGCCATGCTTAAATTATCCACAAAGCCCTTGCTAAAGTTATTTTGGTGGAGGTTTGCTCTGAGGGTAGAGCTGGGAAGAGTTGGAGGCGGTCAGGAGTTGGTCTTCCAACAGTGTCAATAGCGACAAACTGAAACTTTGGGGAGGTCGAGCTAGCAAACTGTTGTGCAAGTTTTGTTGTCCAACTTGTCCCTACGTTAAACCACGGCACCCAAGTGAGGTCAGCCATGAAATTCATCCAGTGTATCTGTAACTGAGGTTTTTTTGGGTCCTTTCAGCACCGCCAGTTCCCTTCCCAGCTCTGTGAGCAGAGAGTAAGGCTGGAATTTGAAGTTGTCATGAGGCTAAAGGGGTTTTACATCATATCTATTCAGCAATGGTCTAATTAGTGCTTTTCAAAAAAGCAGATTTAACTATTGAGTACTTCTTATGGACAGCAATGCGGGGGGTCTGGGTTAGCGTTGAAAGAGCTGCCAGCCATATAACCATGCTCTTTTAATTTGTTTCAGTGTAAGTTTGATTCTCCACACATTATGTATCATATGACAGTCCCACAGTGTGTATAAAGTGCTTACAGAGTAATTTAAACCTTCTGTATCTGAGCAAGCTGTAAAATGGTACTCTAACTGTACTAGCACTTTTTGATATGTTTAGGAGGTTGAAGAGGGACAGGAGGGAAATTTTATTCCAAGAAGTGAAGGAAATAAGTTACATGAGGATAACTTTGTCCAGTGGAAAGTTAATTATAGAAATAATTTGGTTACCCAGAGGACAAGTTAGTCTTCAGAGGATTTTCAGAGAGAGTTATATGTGTATCAAGAGAGAAATGCTCTCTGATCAGGAATTTTATCTGATGTGTCCTTTTATTATTTAATAGAAATAAATAATTTCATATATTCAAGCTGAATTACAAATGTCTTCAAAACTTGAAGGATGCTAGGGCTCAGAAAAGGGGTACTATTTCATGTCTTGCTTTTGTGTTTTCCTCTGTTAACTCTAGTTTCACAATTAGAAATAAATAATTTCTTCTCACAAAGAAGGAAAACTCTTTATCTGCTTTTATAAAAGATTGCATGTAACTTCTGGCTTTTTGACATTCCTAAGCAAATTCATTTTGCTGCCATTACCTGAGGCTGACTGCCCACATCTTAAACCAGCTGCAATATGTTGTATGGGATAACATTAATGTGTGCTTGAAGCAGTGTGTATTTTGACACCTCAGCAGGACTACCACCATTAGCATATGCTTTTTATCTACCCAAAATAGATTAAATAAACTGCTGCTTAAAAAAGTCAGCTTCACAGAATGATATGGCAGAGAGCAGAGCACTGGTAGGATACATGTATGTACTGTCAGGCATGACAAGGTGCCTGATTTGCTTTAGATGTGGAAAATAGATAAGAGGAGGGTGCCATTAAAAGGGTGGGTCCACTTCTGTTTCTAAGGATGACATGAGAGTTGTCATCTTATGTCAGAGGAAAACCAGTCTCTCACACTGTCTGGGAGGTTGCATCTCTGTCCATGTTGCACTTTGCCTTCCCTAGACTTTTTTAGTTGATCTGGCACCTCTGGTGGTGGGAAGGTCCCCAGGAGGAACACCTACCTTTTGAGGGGGATGAGCTCTGTGAAGGTGTTCCATCTGCTTCTCCTGTCTCTGCTGCCTGGCAGTTAAGTGTGGTATCTCCTCATTTTACCTTGTGGGAAGTCATACGCCCTCAGGCTGTTGGCATCTCAGACTGCCATCCTGTCCCACCTGGACATGTTCCCTTTCCAGCAGGAAAAGTTATTTTGTCCTTTATCTCTGAATGTGCTTTGCTGATAGCGCTCCCATCTAATCAACAACATCACAAAGCCACTCAGAGATACCAAACTCTTTATTTGTATGTGATGAAGTGTTCTTGTGACATCTTAGTTAGGGTAAAGACCCACTGTTCCTCGTGAACAGAATCTGTTCTAAGAAAATAATCTGTCTATCTGGTAAGGAGGCTATAACTTTCAGTTGCATTTTGTTTTCTATTGCAACTGAGATGATGCATAGCTATGATGAAAACCCCTCCTCTATAATTACTAGAAGTAATCTGGGATAGGAGAAGCAAGAATCCTCTTATATACCCAGACTCTCAGTTCCAAGTGATTATGTGATTATCTTTTTTGCAAAGGAAAAGCTCCTTAAAATTTTATTGTTTAGAAGTTTGTGTGAAGAGGGCTGTCTGAAATTACTGGTTGCTGCTCCAAGCCTTGCAAACTTTATGCTTTGCCAGCTCAGCAAGATTAGTCGTTGGGTGATGTGGAAAAAGTATACTGGCATGGAAGGATTTTTTCTGCCAGTGAAAATGGGAGTGGGGATTAATGTCTGAGATTTATAGTCCAGTCTTTCTGTAAATCTGCAGAAGTCATTGCTCAATGGTATACTACAGTGATATGTCATGTGTTTCAAGAAAAATCATCCAGATGGACTTATTCCTCACATACCATGTCCAGCAGTCATATGCATATCATCTTGTTCAGTGTCTAGTTATTTGTGTAGATGCATATGTGTCCATCTTCAGTTCTTTCAGCATATTTGATTTTTATTTTTTTGTTACTCTAGGATTTTATTATTTCTAATTGGAGCAGATGTTAGTTTAAAACCCAGAACTTTGTGAGTTTATTTTTATTTGTACTAATGCAAGATTGTCTTAATACTTAATTTGATTCTTTTTTAGTTCTGTCAAAGTAAGAATGTAATACGAGCTTAGTGACTCTCAGTTGTCAGCATGGTTACTATTTAAAAACGTTAAGCACTTCCTTACCCAGTTCTTTAGGGGTGACACACCCAGTTGTTCCCAGCTGTGGAAGGGTTATTAGTAAAATCATAGCATGGAGTCTATGAGAGTTCTCATAGATAGACACCAAACTTAATTCTGATGGAGTTTGTTATCCCAGTTATCAGTTTTAAAGGAGGCAGCCTGAACAATCAGATTGAGAGTGTAAACTCAAATTTGTCTTTTCTTTCAAGCAAATTAATTATTCTACCTGAAAAAAAATTATAATTCTGTAAAATGAGGTATCTAGTAAAAGAATCTAATTAAAATCTAATAATAAATCCAAACAATGGTGGGTTAACAGATTAGAATATTAAACTAAGAAAAAAAAAAGAAATCCCCCAAAACAAAACAAACACCCAACTCCCCCCCAAGAAACAATTCACTGCAAAATCCTAAATAGCAAACTTTTTTTAAAGGTACACAGCCTCTGAGTTCTAACGTTGAAGTTTTACCATACTAATTTCATTCTTCAGTAAAAGAGCAAATTAAAATACTTAGCTTCCATTAATATTATTGCTACAGGGTTATATTTAGAGTATGCCTTGAATGAAACTCAAAAACTGAGACCCCACCTGGAGTGCTGTGTCCAGCTCTGAGGCCCCCAACATAAGAAGGATGTGAACCTGCTGGAGCGAGTCCATAGAAGATGATCAGAGGGCTGGAGCACTTCTCATATGAAGACAGGTTGAGAGAGTTAGGGTTGTTCATCCCGGAAAAGAGAAGGCCCCAGGGAGACCTTACAGCAGCCTTCCAGTACCTAAAAGGGGCCTACAAGAAAGATGGAGAGGGATTTTTCACAAGGCTACATAGGACAGGACAAGAAGTAATGGCTTTAAACTGAAAGAGGGAAGGTTTACATTTAGATATTGGGAGAAATTCTTCCTGTGAGGGTGGTGAGATACTGGAACAGGATTCTCAGAGAAGCTGTGGATGCTCCATCCCT